GATGAAAGTCATGATCATATTTCCCAATAGCGGCATCCGATAGGAATGTGGTATAGTGTGTTGGTGTCTGGTGTGTTTATCTACGTCTGTGTATCTGTCTTTTATATATCTTATACTATTTAACTATCTGAGTATGTTGGAATATCTGTCTCTTTTTGACGCGTGAGTGGTTTGTGAATGTGCCGTGCTGCGGTCGAATGGACGATCGTTCCTCGGGTGCTTCTGTTTCTGACGCCAGACTTGTAATGAACTTGCTTCCTCACGCACGTGTGGTGTTTTCTTCTCTCTTTCTCACTCCAATGTAATTGTCCATCCTACAGGACAGTGTCCCAATGGCTCCTCCTGCTTTCCTTCTCTCTCCTCTTTGTAAGTATTACAGATAATACATCAAAACCTCAGATTTCACCAGAACCAGGCCCACGCTCCGCACACGCTTGTCTCAAACGCAGACACACGCATACACGATGTATCATATAATGTCCTATTACCTCCTCATCGCTTTTCTTTCTCAGTACAGTTTAGTTTCTAGTTTATGTCATTAAGAAGCAAAACTGTTTTGAAGCTTAACATATATAATACACATAAAGCCATTAAATCTGAGCACTATTATTGGGTGTTAGAAATGATTAATGCAAATATTCAGTACATTTCGACCAGCTATCCTGTCACGTCATTGAACATTATTGTAATTGCAACATAAAAGCCACAGTTCAACCTATAATAAAAAAAATAATATTGAATACATATTGAATCATTGAACTAAATATTGATTATTGAGATTATTACAATTTACAGTAAATGTGGTCTTGGTCACACAAAAAACAACAACCTTAAGGACTGAAACAAAGGTTATTTTAGTAAATGATAGGTGTTTTAGTTAAATATATAAAAAAAGAAATACAAAATCAGCCCAATATATCTATTTCTGTGGGGTTTTTAGTTTATTTTTAAAACTCCCAGATACGATATCAGTTGGTCCTAAGTCCTGTAATCGGTCAGAAAGAAAATGCAGTTACGTGCACATAAAATATTAAATTCTAACCTTAAATAATTAGAGATGTCATTTTTACTGTGAGTCAAAACCCTTTCAGAAAATAAATCAAGTGGAAGTATTTGCTTTATTTAAGTGTTTTTTTAGTGGATATATATAATATGTCATACACTATTATAGATAAGAACAATCTAAGTTAAAGTAATATTATTTATTTGTATTTACACTTGATTGAACAGTTATTATTATTATATATATAAAATATATATAGACCTCACAACTGCCGAACCAAGCTCAAATGTAAAATGTTCTAATTTTTTGCTAGACCTCATCAGTCGTAGTTGAGCTGAAGAAAATAGGTTTTCATGATCTTTTCTGTCTTATTATTTCACATGATACAAGTCTTTGACTGTTTCTGTAGAGGATCATAATATAGATATCAACCAATTAACCAGTAATAAACTTAAGTATCAAACGTCAGTAGTAGCTGAAAGAAAAAAACGCAGACATCAGTACCAGACACAATCAGCTGTAAAGACGTCTGATAAACAATAATTCTCTTACTCCTTCCTCTCTCCTGACAGGTTTCTCCACACAAACACACACACACACACAACCACCACCAACACAACTCTCTGAAAACACGGTTCTGAACACACTGGTCTGTGCCCTCATGAAACTTTAAGTTTGTTTGGACACAATATTCACACACACACTGGCTCCAGTAACCTTTCATCACCCAAAGCTTCCGTCGACTTCGTTAATGACCGCATAGCCGGTTTCCTGTTATTCAATTATATATACAGATGAGAATTAGTTGTGTCTCTGCATGTTCTAATTTTTTTCTCCCTTCTTTTCTTTTAAATCTTCCTTTTTTGGGATCATCCATTGTTTTTTTTTGTTTTTGTTTTTTTTATGTTCTTCATTTTGGGAGGAAGCCTTCCGAGGTGGACTGTGCTGTGTTTATTTGTGCGGAGCTCAATCGCGTGAGGAGGCCTGCCACAGGGCCTCCCTTCTCTCTGTCCAGCTGACCTTTGACCTTTACACCCTTATGTTAATTTTTCCTCCTGCTCTCGCTCTCTTTCTTTTTCCCCCCTTTCTCCCTCTTTCGTCTGTCTCTCTGCCGCAGGACGGAGGCACCAGGGGTCGTCGTAGTGCCATGGAGGCCGACCTCAAAATGAAGAAATAGACTGAGATATCAGAGAACGAGACACTTTGAGAGACAAAGAGCCACTCTTGGAATCGGAGGTGGTGGAGCTGAATACTTACTGGTCACCTTGGTTGTTTTCTGAAGAGGACTGTGCAGTCTCTGTGTGCCTGGTGTATGTGTGTGTGTGTGTGTGTGTGCATACATACGCACTTATTCATCCGTGCTGTGCCGTAGACGAAGGGTATATGTGAATGGGTGTGTCTGTCTGTGTGAGAGAGAGCTGCATCAAGCTTCCTCTTCTCCCGTTCATATGATTGGTTAATGTGCAGCGCCATGGGGATTTCACTCCAGGCCAAACAAGCCATGGCACCACTTACCCCAAGTATAATTTCACCAGCGACGGTTCATCATTTCCCTCTGCAGAGGAGGAGGAGCAGCGAAGGGAAAGAAAACTCTGTCACCAGCAAACATTAGTTTGGGTCCTGAATAATCTAGTGCAAGATGAGTCCTGCTTGTCAGATTTGATCATGTTGAATCACGGATGCATTAATACTGGTACTGCATGTGAAATGCAACCACGATACTAAATCTATATCAGTTTGATCACTGCTAAAATATGATCCACATAAAAGCGATTAGGAATTTTAACAACTGGAGTTTTTTGCCTTTTCTGATAAATGTAACAGAGGATGGCTGTCTTCATTAAGAAAAGCTGATGACGTCACCGTCTGCTTTGCTTAGTCACGGGTTTGAATGCTCCTCTGTGTTGTCCATGTTTCAGCCCATTAACTGCAAGTTGCATTTACATTTCTGCTGACTGTTTTCCAAAGAACACGTTTTTAGATGAACTACCTACCTTTAAGCAGCCCTCAGCTTTCATAAAAATCCATAATCCATAAACTAGAAATCAATCTAATAACTAGCTGCGATGTGAAAGTTGCTGGAGAGCTGTAACCCATCACTGTTAACAATATGGTGCCTTTTGGTTAAAGTCACATCAACATCGTAATACTGACGTTGTGAGCAGGAACCCTTTTCTAAGTCTATTAAATGTTGCATTCAAGTACACAAGGCGTCAAAAGTATGTTGTCCAGAATAACTATCATGGATGAGTTTTTTTTGAGCATTTATAAGGTTGCTTCTACATGTCTCAGATGTCGGAGTGTCCTTGAAAGCACCAACCACAAGCTTACAAAACAGTTCCTGCAGTAATGATTATATAACTTTAAGGGAAAAACAGTGAGTCAACAAATGATTCGCTTGATTAATTACCTTAACTTCAAATACACGCCACAGCTCATTTTTATGTCTTAGTGAATTGAATGTAAATCAGTAGCGGCCTCTAAAAACTAATCAATACACTTTAATCTCTGTAAAATAGTTGGCAGTAATGTAATGCTTTGGGCTTTAATGGGCTAAAAGAAAGTATGTGGAGATTGGTGTTGCTGAAATAGTATTGATGCATCCCTACTCATCACTGTAGCCAGTGTGTGTGTGTGCTATGTAAATGGAATAAGAAACATGTTTGTGTAATGTGTGTTAGATGGGTGTACAAAAACAGGTTTTGTACTTGTGAGATGGATTATGTAGAGTTTTGTGTTAGCTGATACATGTATCATGTGTTCTGTTGTACATTTGTTAAATAAAAAAAAAGATTATTTGATCTAAAACTGAAATAATATGAGAGTTGTGTATTTGCTGTTTGTGTGTCTCAGTCACTTCAGGGTCGTTGGAGATCTGCTCTCACCAGCTGCATTCGGTGCTCTAAATGGGCTCATTGAAACGATCTGGCACACTTTAAGCTTTATGTAATCATTTTCTTTTACTCGTAAACAACTCGAAGCTCAAGAAGTCCTAAGTCATTAAGTGTTGGGGCCCATAAATTGTCAGCAGATGTAGTGAATATGTATGTCGTCTGCTGGGGAACACGGACAATGTTTTACAGCACACAAACAAGCTTGGGAAGTAACAGAATACATGTAACTGAGTCATGTAATCAGGATGCAAAAAAGGTAAATAATCCATTAGAGAAAAAAGAAAAATGGGGATTATTATAAAAATACAATGAGCCGAAGACACATTTTTGATGTCATAAATCTTTCTTTCAGTTGTCTTACAAAATATGTAGAAGTCGTTATTTTCTCTTAATTTTAGTAGTCCAAAAGTAATGGGAAGTAATCAAGTTACATTACTTTATTATTTTGTGATACTTTTTTAAACAGGTAATTAATAATTGTGTCAGATTACATTCATAAAGTAACCCTAACCCTGCTCACAGGCATCAACAGTAGACTATACAGCAGCACTCAAATACAAGCACAGGACAAAGAAATAGTAGTGTAAAAACTTTATTTTACAATTTCATAAATAACAAAAAAAAAAAAAGTACAGCACACTTCAGGAGTGAGACCTGCCCAGTCCTGAAAGGAAGTTCTCTTTATGTTTACAGTGTACACTTAACATTCAACCATCCTGTGCAAAATACTGTGGTCACATTGGCTACAGAGTGTAGGAACACAAGCAGTTTGACCTCCTGCTCCAAGTTAGACATTCATACACCAAACAAAGAACAATCCACTTCCTTAGAGCCAAAATATAACATGCATTTCAGGCCGTGTGCATGTGTAGCCTGAAATAAGGTACAAGTGTGTATTTAACATTCACACCAACAAAAAAAAAAGAGGTATTCAGTGAAACGGGTTTACATTCAACTCTGTGCCCCTAGTTGAAATCATGAATGACCGGGCTGGCAGAGGAGTAGAGCTTCCTCTTCACCAGCCGGTACTCGGGTCTCAGCTTCAGCACTTTGTTGGTATCAAAGATGTGCATGAGTGGCGGCCAGCCGTCGCCCTTGTCCTCCTTGAAGATCAGGGACAGCTCAAACGTCGGGGTGACACTTGGGTCTGGGAAGATGCTCCCCACAGACTTGAGGCCATCTTTGCCCTCCACGTAGACCTTGATGGAGGCGCCCCGCAGCCCACAGGGCTCGTCGGCTGAGGAGTGCACCACATCCTGGCCCACCCTGGAGGTCATCTGGCGAGGCAGCAGCAGCACCTGGCAGTGGAGGGCGGAGGCTTTGGCCTCTGTTAGACAGTGCTCTATCTGCCGGGTCACGTCCTGCTGAAGGAGCCGCTCCTCGTGCTCCAAACCAGCGTCCAGGTTGGCAACTGTGGAGAGAGACCAAGAGTGTTTGTTAGAATAAGTTTAAATGTCTAAAATGATGAGGATTTTATAACATTTGTCAAATACAAATCCTGCATCTTATCAATAAAGTGAGTTTGACCCTTTAATCATTTTACTTTTGGTTACTACTTTTATCATGAGAAACATGTAATAAAGAGTTTGTATCAGCAGCTGAGAGGAGATCAGTAAAACAACCATCAGCTGATCCAAAACCTGGATCAGTTACATCAGAAACTTCAGCTAATTAATTTGTTCTTCCGCCAAATTATATAGTTCCAGTCCCTATTATGAGTTTCTTATTACCACAACAAAAACTACAATCAACTTTTTCTTTTCTTTTCTTAAAACTTACAAGGTGAGTTAATATCTCTCTCGTCCCAGCTTTCGACGCTCCCCCGCCGGACTGAAGTTGTCTTTCGGCCCGGGGACCTGCGCTGGAAGAAGTACTTCCCGATCATCTCTACGAGGCTTTCGTCCTCCGGCAAGACGGGCACTCCGTGTCCAAAGAGCAGAGCCGTGGTATAGACCATCCCGATTCCTGTCCGTGAAGCTCCGGTGTCTCCTCCGAGGGTTTGGTCTGTGTCTGCTCCATGTATTGAGAGAGTCGAGCTGAGCGGCTCTCGGAGCTCAGCGCGCAGCTTTTATACCGGAGGCGCATCTGGTTGCATCAGCTGAGCGCTCACACGTTTGTGGGAGGGACTGACCGGTTCAGTCGAGAAAGTTCCTGATTTTGTGGCTCACGCAACATGCCCGGGCATTACACTGAGAGCTGATACCTACACACACTCATATAGTTCATATAGGAGTAGGAGAAGTGGAATATAAAGCGACTCTTGTAACTTTTATATGTGTACATTTACTTTTGTTGGTGCTTCTAACTGTACTGGCAAATATCTCCAATAGTATTCATTTATATGAGAATGAAAAGACATTTGAATCTGCCCCCCAGTCTTTGTTTAACTTCTCTTCATTGCAGTTTATTCCATATTTATTATTATTTGCTCAGTATGAAACTCTATATAATTGTTTATTCTTCAACTATGGCCCATAATGGTCTCGAAATTTTTAGAAAATTGAACATGTATTTTATGGAAAAGGAATAAAATGACATTACATGAAATTATGTGTTTTTGTTTTTTTTACACAGGATGGAGAAATAAAGCATAAATTCCAGCATACAGAGGAAATCGTCACACTACAAAAAAAGTTTTTAAACAAAATTATTTACAGACCTTCTGTTTTCAGAATATTTAATGAGAAATTGAACACAGATGTGTCGATGTATTCATATTCAGGATTTTAAATAATATTTTTTTCTATTTTTTTAGATGAAAAACTTCTTTCACTAGACTCTTTCAATCAATTTCTTACATTGCACAATAATGAGTTTTGGACAAAGTTGTATTTGGGTGGAATAAACCTTTAAAATTATAATAGAAAGTAGTATTTAGCTAGGTTGTGAAAAACTAGGGTCCTTGAAATAAAGATCCTGAAAGTGCTGACTCCGGTTCTACACGGACGTGCTACAACCAAGGCTGGGAGGGTTACTTTAAAGATGTAATCTGATACAACTAGTAGTATTTATCTGTTAAAAAATGTTGTCAGTAACCAAATCCAAGTATCACAATATTAAAGTAACATGACCAAGAAGTACTGATGCAATGTAACCTCAGAAAAGAAAATGGAAACAGAAAAAGTGTGCTCAGTGTAGCTTATTTATAAAGAAAAACAACAACAAACTCAGTTACATGTAATCCGTTACTCCCCAAGCCTGGCTACAACTACTACTTACAAAAACTGATATTGATAATAATGAACTAAAGAAGGCATTTACTTTATTTCTCCCCTTTTTTAACTTTTTTACTTCACTACATTTATCCAAAAGTAGGTAGTAGTTACTTTACAGATTAAAATTATCACCGCAATGTCAGCTTTAACTACCACACAGTATATCAAATAGGAACTAAATAAAAAGCTAAATTAAAATAACTACATGCATTGGGCGTTAGCAGAGTCACAAGATGAGTTGATACCACAGCAGCCTTTCAGAGACGAAACTGTCCTACAGACGACTGCTAATAAATATACTTAGCTGATAAAATATGATGCAGTGTTGTAGATTAAACTACCCCACAGTATAATAAATAGGATAATACTTTTTTTCATTTAAAGAACTATTGAATTAGTTATTATAGAAAATAATAAACTTAGTTTTAAATTTGTATACTTGCAGTTCATTAATTACAATAAATGAATTGTTGCATAATCTAATTATTGAGGCTACAGCAGGTCTGAAAATGTAAAACTGTGTAATCTGTCTGCAGGCAAAAGCAATAAATTCAACATATATGGAAAATAAAGTTTCCCATAAATAGATAATGAATTGTATTTAATTAAAATAGAGTTTTCCTTAAAGGAAAGTCACATTTTCACCCTTATTATCCCCAAATCACAGAGAATCCTAAGAAATTACAGACATATATTCATCTCAACCAACAACATTAAAATGCTCACACATTGAATGCACTGGTATTAACTACCCAATAATAAAATAAAGTAAAATAAAACAAGTACACATTTTCAAAGTCGAAAGTCAAAGTCAGCTTTAATGTCAATTCTTCACATGC